GAACCCTTTTGCCTTCAGACCTGCCCTAATTCTTTTTGCCATAGATTCAACAAGGTCTTTGAATTCATTTTGGTTTGTGTGGGTGTGATCGTATCACACAGGTGCAGCAGATTTATCGACTGCTCACCCACGATGTGAATCTTTGAAGGTGACTGTTGAGGCCGTTTGAGTGCAGTGAACTAAGACTCACGTTCAGGAAACCAGTTTGAGATGATCTGAGCTTTTGGCATGTTATGTTATCCTGCTGAAAGCAACACAGTGGAATCAAAGCCCACACTGACCTGCTTAATGCTAATTTATTAAGTTACAATGTCTTGGAACAACTGACCTTCAACAGGTACTTAACTTAATAAATCAGCAGCAAGCAAGACGATGTTTGGGGATCATTTTCTCCCAGCTGTTATTCATCAAGACAGCGCAGAGACTTTGAACCTGGAAACAGTCATCAGACGTTACGAAAGGATGGAAATACTGAGGAACAACACTCATCGAACCAGACGACATTTTTCAGTCTTTTGTGGTCCAGTTTAGATTGACCAATGGGAAGTGCAGCCTCAGTTTCCCACTCTCAGCTGATAGGTGTGCACCCACTGTGGTCTTCCGTTACTATAGCAACATCATCATTAATCCCTGTCCCCAAGAAACCTAGGATCACTGGACTAAATGACTACAGACCCGTGGCTCTGACATCTGTGGTCATGAAGTCATTTGAGCGCCTGGTTCTCTCCCATCTCAAGACCCTCACCGCCCCCCTCCTGGACCCCTTGCAGTTTGCATATAGAGCCAACAGGTCTGTAGACGACGCCATCAACATGGCCCTACACTACATCCTGCAGCATCTGGACTCCCCAGGAACCTACGCCAGGATCCTGTTTGTGGACTTCAGCTCTGCCTTCAACACCATCCTTCCAGACCATCTCCGAGGCAAGCTTTCCCAGATGAATGTGCCTGATCCCATCTGCCGGTGGATCACTGACTTCCTGACGGACAGGAAGCAGCACGTGAGGCTGGGAAAGAATGTCTCGGACTCCCGGACCATCAGCACTGGCTCCCCTCAGGGCTGTGTTCTTTCTCCTCTGCTCTTCTCCCTGTACACCAACTGCTGCACCTCCACCCACCAGTCTGTCAAGCTAATCAAGTTCGCAGATGACACCACCGTCATTGGGCTCATCTCGGACGGGGACGAGTCTGCCTACAGGAGGGAGGTTGAACGTCTGGTGACCTGGTGCAGCCACAACAACCTGGTGCTGAATGCCCAGAAGACAGTGGAGATTATTGTGGACTTCAGGAAGCACACAGCCCCACTCCCCCCCATCATCCTGACTGACACCCCCATCACCTCTGTGGACTCATTCCGCTTCCTGGGTACCACCATCACCCAGGACCTGAAGTGGGAGCCCACCATCACCTCCGTCATCAAGAAAGCCCAGCAGAGGATGTACTTCCTGAGGCAGCTGAAGAAATTCAACCTGCCAACACGGACGATGATGCAGTTCTACACTGCAATCATCGAGTCCATCCTCACCTCCTCCATCACCGTGTGGTACGCTGGAGCCACTATCAGGGACAAACAGAGACTGCAGCGTGTTGTGCGCTCTGCTGAGAAGGTGATTGGCTGCAAACTCCCATCTCTGCAGGACCTGTACACCTCCAGGACACTGCGGCGTGCAGCCCGGATCTCAGCTGACCCTTCTCACCCTGGACACAGTCTGTTTGACCTGCTCCCCTCAGGCAGGAGGCTCCGGTCCATTCGCACCAGAACCTCTCGCCATAAGAACAGTTTCTTCCCCTCTGCTGTTGGACACATGAACAATAACCACATGACTGTCCCCACCACTAACACATGACCCTACGCTGTGTCACTGCATCATTTCATGTTTGGCACTGATCACCACCTGCACTCATGTATATATCTTTCTACGTAGCACTCATAATTCTTATTCTCATGTATATATCTCATGTATATCTCATGCACATATCTTTCTTTCTACATAGCACTTTAATTCTTATTGTTTGCACTGAAGCACCGCAGCAATTTCCTAATGTTGTAAACCTCAACATCTGGCAATAAACCCCATTCTGATTCTGATTCTGATTTCTGCTCAAGATGCTCTTGATACTTTGGTTGTAACATAGTTATTGACTCACTGTTGACTCAGTCGTATCTTGGAGTAGTCCCGTCTGACCGGTGGCATCGACAAGACACTTTCCCCAAATAACTGACATTCTGTTTTTCATTTTCTTCCTCAGACCAGTCTCTAGAGATGGTTGTGAGGGGGGAAATCCCAGTACATCAGCAGTTTCTGAAACATTCAGACTATCTGGAACCAATACCCACGCCATGTTCACATCACCTTTCTTCTTTGATTTGTTTGGTAACAACCGTCTAGACAGGTATACTTAACAAAGTGGTCTGTGAGTGAATAGTCCTATGCACAGGCAATGGTTCTTATTCATCATTTTAGCAGCTCACAGTAACCAACTACATTTGCCTTGGGAGCTACAAAAGCAGCAAGTTTTAGAAATCCAGTCAGTGCCAGGGGAGACGAGAACTTTGATCTGGATCCCAAATTCAGTGCAGACTCCTTTCAAAATGCTGCCACTTGGTACCAGTGCAAATAACACTTAACATCTTTCTTCCATCTCGTATGTTGTTCTCTAAACATTATGACCAGTTCTCTTCAAAAACATGTCAAGGTTTTTTCTAACTGAAATTTTAATGCCATAAATAATTTTGTTTTTTTTTTCAAATTCTGAAAGAAAATGATCCTGACTCGCTCCAGTGTTGCACTGATTCATCCGAATGTACGGAAGACTTTGAAATAGTCCTAATCAGAGAGTAAAACACAAACTGGTGCTGAAACAGCCGAGAAAGAAACCTCATGGGATTTTATTCATGCCAAATTCTGATTGAAGAGTATTTGCACTGCCTCCATAGCAGCTCGCTATCAGCCGACAGCAATGTGATACAACCCCTGTGTTATACAGTTTGAGGGACAGTACACGCCACAGTCAGTTTAAATGTGCTGCACTATCACCTTGTATCATGTTACCAGTGTTCAAATTACAAACTAATATTCATAAAGATGGTCAGTCAGAGCAAACTATCAGTGTACTCGTACTTTATAGTTTGTCAGATGAGTAAAAAATGAAGGAAAATTAGCTGCGTTCAAAATTCATACCACACACAAGTAGCTAACCTTGTTAGCATGGGTTGTTGCTGAAGGGATTTTTTTAAACCAGCAGTGATGGGGAAGATCACCACCAAGCAAAAATAGAATCTAGTGAGAGACCAAGGTGCTCTAAAAAATGGGCTCATGACAGGAAGCAAAGAGAAAGGAGTCAGATGAGACCGCGAGACAAGAATATCAAGGGAATCAGGCCCTGACGTTCAACTCGAGGGTATATGCCAAGGTTGTGAAAAATTCGCCCCAGTTAAGGACAGAAGTGTAAGTCAAATTAGAATTTTTCCTGTTTCCAGTTTAGTCACTTCAAATAAATCATCTTTGGTTTGCTCGTGCCTGCAGCTCCAGTTCTGGTAGTTGATTTTATGGATTTGTTACAGGTCATACAGTGCAAGAAAAGAAGAAACTGCATCAATAGATTTTCAGTCCTCCTGGCAGCACAGTGAAAAGATATCATCTCAATATTTAACACATTATAACACTGTAAATATGATTGTAATTATTTATGAATACCAAATATTATATTCTTATCATCAGCTCAACTTTGCAGTGAGTTTATCAGAGCGTTATTTTCCCCGAGAGCTGCCTGCTGTAGCAAAGTGTTTTGAGAGCGAGGGGACAGCTGATGTATTCAAACAGAATGCTGAAAGATGTTAAAGAATGAAAGAGCTGAGAGGAGCGCTGAGACAGCTCAACTGCCAACAGCTTAAACTTTGTTCACGTTAAAGGTGTAGCCATCAATTTATTGGCTTCCTGTTAAATCCAGAATTCAAAATCCTGCTCCTCACATACAAGGTCTTAAATAATCAGGCCCCATCTTATCTTAATGACCTTGTAGTACCATATCACCCTATTAGAGCACTTCGCTCTCGCTCTGCAGGCCTACTTGTTGTTCCTAGAGTATTTAAAAGTAGAATGGGAGGCAGAGCCTTCAGTTTTCAGGCCCCTCTTCTGTGGAACCAGCTTCCAGTTTGGATTCAGGAGACAGACACTATCTCTACTTTCAAGATCAGGCTTCAAACTTTCCTTTTTGCTAAAGCATATAGTTAGGGCTGGACCAGGTGACCCTATGCTGCAATCCGGTCTTTAAGTGATGATGTGATGAATCCTGCTTCAGGGCCAAAACTACTCTGCATTTAATAAGGCTGTTGTGTTTTTAACATGTTTTAATTCTGTGTATCTTGTTCTATTTAATCTCAAAAAGCCCCTAAAACAGTCAGTGATCACTGTCGGCCTCTCTCGTGTTTTTATTCCGCTTTCATTTAAGCTCAGTTTTTAAACCTTACGATGTAACTACAGCCCAGCCCATGCAGCAGTATATGAATGACTAACCTCGTATTGTGGATGGATTATCTCAGTTGTTCTCCTGGCTGAAGTTTGGTCCTTTACAGCATCCTGCCATGCGATTCTATTTGTCTCTAACCATCAGGGAACCTCACAGTTAATTTTATCGAGTGGAAAAAATTAGCGTTCATCCTCCAGCTTCACTGTTTATGTTTATGTAACATAGCTGTGTCGCTGCTAAGCAATCACGTAGCACATCATTATATACCAGATAGTCCAACTTCAGTAACCCTACAAACGTCACTGCCTCTGTCAGTGCGGCCCAGGGTGGCTGTGGCTACAATGTAGCTGCCATCACCAGTGTGTGTAAATTTAAATCTACTTATGCTAAATATTGGCTGTGCTCTAAACCAAAGCTGGCTGAGAATACATGAAATATGCAAACTGCAGCTACACTACAGGATCAGATTGTGGCTCCATAGACAATGCTTCTTTAATCAGTTTATTGATTAAAGTTTATTTCCCCCTATATTAACAGCATAAAAAAGAGCATATAGACATGGCTGAACAGGTTGCATAATTGGCACTGAATATCAACATCCACCTTTACCCAGCTGCCCAATGACTCTGGGCCAGTAACCTTTAATTGCTTACCCAGTCTACACAGTCTCTTTTCCAGGGTCCAGGACATTTCACCAAAGTATTGCCCCCCACAGCTGTAGCAGCCACTGCAGCCCCTTAAATATCCTAATATCTCTGCCATTACAATATACAATGTGAGAAATCAAACGTAAAGCTGAAGTGAACAGTACAGCAGCGAAATGTCAAAGACCCTGGTGAAGACACGAATAAACACAAGACACTAATAATATCAATGCTAGCTTGCCAGTTAGTTTCTCTGAAACCCAGACCAAATCCAGTGTCAAAGATCTTGTAATAATACATTTGGTGAGGAAAAAGTACACGTTATCATGTGGCATCTATTGTTTAGTTTAAAATCCACTGTGGTGCTGTCATTATTAAATTTACTGAAAGAAACAATGCTAACCTTCACAGTCTTGAGAGTGTGTGAGGTCCTCTGTCCTCTTCCTTTGTGTAGGGCTCTGGTCAAAGAAGTCAAAAAGAAAACAAAAACACTTTTTAAACAGTGTTTATGAAGCATGCAGACAGCTCCAAATTCACAGCTTTTTGATACATAATTCCATCAATATATGATTATCATTGGAGATTTTGAATCAGGCTTATCAGGACATTCAAGTAGAATATGATATCCAACCTACCACCAATATACACAGTAAAAGTTACCACACTAAATGTCCAGTTGTGAAATATGATGACAGACTTTACTTATCAGCTTTCTTTCAATGAGTTCATCAGTTGAACTGGATAACCTAAAACTTAAACAAAGGATTAGATTTCGCAGTTGAACACTTACATCATCACCGAAGCATTTTATGAGCCTAGTTAGCCCTCCTATGCCGCTCTTGATTTTGTACAGCTCCACGAACCTCTCCATAATGGTCAAGCACAGCAAAAAGGAACCCTTTCAGGTCAACAGATGTAAGACGGGCAAATTCTGCTTCAACCTGAGCAACAGAAGAAGAGGGGTGGGGAGTACAGGCAGAATAAAAAAAGATTCTTTGAGACCCAAATTTAAGCAAACCGTCATCTGAGGCCCATTAGAGAAAACACAAACACACAAAAGCAAACAAACAAAAAGATGCACTTTACCTGCCGTTCAGCGAACAAGGAAGTTCAGAGAACAATAAGCTCTGTCTTGAAATCTTTTAAAGTAGAATGATTGTGAAAATGACTTATGTGATGTAAAACTGGAGTAAATGTGCGATTAAAAGAACACTGAGTAAAAGGACAAGTAACAATTGCCTTATTCCTCAGATGTTTACCTTGATGAGCAACACATTGCTTTAGTCCAACTGCCTCATTAAAGTTACACAACAGGCTTTTTACATTAAAGCCAGCAAGTCCATTACATACTCCCTTTTTATATCTGAAATACTGTGCACATTCTGTGTATATGTAGTGGACAGCAATTTACCCAAAAGAGTGCAAAGTTTGCAAGTCCACCTCATTTAAATGACAAAGTCAGATGTGATCATCTAGACCTGTGAAAACAAATTAATGACAAACCTGCAGTTATGGATGTTATTACAACCACAAGACCCTAAACAGTCTGCTCCACTGCTTTTGTTAATGAATCATGTGTTGGTAGCACGTCTGAATATTTAGTTTATGCCACCTGCATGCGATCATCAATAGTGCAATATTACTTCTTAAGAAGGACCCTGACATCACAATCTTTATATCATTTGTTCTACAGAGCTATTAAGTTACAATATGTGGTGGTGTTTCCAATATGACAAAATGCACAAATTGTAACTTACCATTTGGCTCCACTGACAAAAATAAATCCCCAGCATCAAGTTTGGCTTCACAGACCTAAAATAAGTAAAATAAAAATATGTTAGAATTATTTTGTTTTCGCCATTTATTCATGTTTGCTAATTTTCTGACATATAAACAATGTTAGTTTTGTTACAATACAGGGAATGCAGTTTAATTAAAAGGTAAATTATGCAAAAAAAACAAACAAAAAAACCTTCTGCAGTATATGATGCCAAAAATCAGTGTCTCTTATGCCAATTATTTTATCACTACAGCTCTTTTAGTATGGAAACTCACACAATCTGGTCATACTGATCACAAGAGTCCAAAAATAAGTTAAAATAGCGAGCTGTTGTTAAGCATAAAGCATTTCAGGGTAACAAATAACTGCACAATATAATTAAAGCAAAAAATAAACACACTGGACTATCTGATAAAAACTAATATAATGCTGGTTTGTAGACCATATTTTGTCTCAATCCTCAGTGCACTCCTGCAGCTTAGCATGCAGCAGTTAATAACAATTTAAGTGATTGTATAGCAGTAAACAGATGACAACAAGCATAGCAGTCCTGCCAAAAAGTTCTTTTTGAACCCAGTCAGTTATTGGAAAAATTGCCAAAAAGAACTTCCACCAAAATGCAACAGCCTGTGAACTTGAAAGAAATTTACAAGTACAGAGACAATATGAAATAAGCTTTATTAATTAGCTGAGTTATTAAACATCCATCCATCTTCATCCGCTTTATCCGAGACCAGGTCGCGGGGGCAGCAGCCTAAGCAAAGAGGCCCAGACCTCCCTCTCCCCAGCCACCTCCTCCAGCTGGAGTCATTAAACATTCGCACATAAATAAGTGACGTCATATTCAGTACTTACTTTTGACAGTTCACTCTTTGGCCGCTCCCTTCTGCCGTATTTTGCGGCAAAATTATCCACACCCACCGCCGCGCTATGAATTGTGGGATATATGGGACCACGCTTGATATCTGGGGAAATCGACGGCGCATTTGAAGCACACTTCGAATTGGGACAGCCGTCGTCGCGTGGCGGTGACGTAATCGCACTTAAAATGCGTACTTCAAGCGTGCAGACCCTGAATTGGGACACAGCCACAGTTACCAACCCGTTAAAATGAGTTTTTCCGCAGCAAACTGAAGGCTGATTGGCTGGCTGCTCTCACCTGTTAACACACCACAGGTAAAGTTTCATTCAGCATCTGAAGTGAAAAACTCTCAAATAATCCAGCGGCTTTTCTGTCGCTTGGAACTTTTATCGCGATGTCAACAACAACTCTCGGCCGGAGGGTACATAGTAACGGCTGCTAAGCAGTCGCTAGGGGCGGGGACGATGGAACAGTCGTTTCCTGTGACGTAACCGGCTTGCCTTTGAACCTTTGAACTTCTGTTTGACGTCATCAGCCAAAAAACCTATAAATAGGAGCAGGAACTGTCTCTGAAACAGCAAACTTGGAACTTGCATTTTACACGCTTTCAACGTGGAAGGTCCATTTCAGACACGATCAACTCAAAACCTAACAGTCATTTAACCCATTCTAACATACAAGTATTAGAAATGGAAAACCTAAAAACAGCGAACATTAAGGAACTGACAGTAGCACGTCTTCTTCCTGTCATCCAATCGTTTCATGAAAATATGACAGCTGAGCAGTGGCGTTCCATGAAATCAGGAAAGTCTGACATAGCCACCAAGAGTCTTCTGGCAGAGGCCACTATAGAGATCATTGAAATTGCTTCAAAGCACTTTCAATGATGGCTCAGAATGCCAACATTGAAGTATCAGAGGAGGCTTTTTTGGACAACATAGGTACGATACTTCCAGAGCCTTTGGCACAAGCTTTGACAATGGATGGTCAGGGCCACAAGGTTAGCACCAAAGAGCAGCTGTTTGCTAAAGAGGTTGTGGGCGGTGTTCAATCTGCTCAGTCTGCTGACACAAAAACAAATTTATCTTCGGAGAGTGAACGCATTGTTCCACCAAAACGGCTGAAAACAACATGATTTGGTGAGAGAATGATGCACGCTTCCTTCTTGATGTGGGAGCATCTCGGCATGAGCATTGACACCATTAGCTACACTGAGCCAGAGGTGGAGACTGAAAGTGTAGATAGCCAAGATGTCCCAAAGGAACAACTAGATAGAGAACATGAAAAACTCACGGTAGGCTCCCAGGACAGCTTCAATACTTCAACAATTCTGTTGTTGTGATTTGGCGCTATATAAATAAAACTGAATTAAATTGAATTGAGAAAGTGTTAGGTGTAACACGTTAACATTACATTTTTCTGTAACGCTGTAATGTACAAACACCATGCTAAAAAAAAAAGCTCACCAATAACAGCGTGTGAGGTGTGAGTTTGCCAAACCTCTTCATGTTCCTACAGTAGAATCACCGTGGAGATCGCTTTTAAGTGTCTTACAGATGATTTCATCTTTGCTTTGTGTTCAGAGGTGAACTCTTAAAGAAAGACTCTATGTGTGTCCTCTTTAGAACAGGGATGTGTGTCGGTGTGTGAGCCCAAGGTTTATATCGTGTACTGGTAAATGACTTTCTCCAGCAAGTAATTTAGCACTTTAAAGGAAACAAGTGAACAATGTTTAATACTTTTTGAATAACAGTCCCGGCCATGTACTGCATTCATGTGCTGATCAATGTTTCTTCCTGTAAATTTAATTAACCAACAAAATTATTCTCAGATTATCAAGTCTTCTAACAGGATGGTGTGTTGTCTTTAACGTGGTTTGGAGTGACTACAGCGGGACACTGAGGGGACAAACGAGCACAATTTACTGAAGCACTCTGAAAGCAGGTATATTAAGATGATGGGAAGGCAAAAAACATCTGGATGAGAATGAAATACCTACCTTCAACAGAAACAACAGAGGGCGAGAGATATCAACAGCTTGGCCTATTATCTGGTCTAATGGAGGCCCTTCTGTTAGAGACAAAAGCCCTCCATTGTTTTGCATCAGCTCTTCTGATGATTGGCGAACATTCGTCCCACGTCGATGGAGTCAATTAAAAGCTCCATCCGTCAAGCGACTCCAGCTTCCTGACGCTGAGCCTCAGTGGAGAACACACACACTGTCGCTCACTCTCCAATTTACCGTCATGTGTGTCCTTTTCTCTTTATTTATTTTATCTCTCTCTCTCTCTCTGCTGCCATACCAAGCCTCTAAAAGCAATTTCATCCTTCCTGTACTGTCACGCTCTGCGTACACACTTTCCTATTGTTTGGTTTCAATCATAATTTCTAAAATTTTAAATAGAGACTGAGTATATTGGAAAGATACTATGTATATTCAATATGTGAACCTCATAAAAAATGACTTGACAACTAAATATTAAATTGAAGGAGCCCCAGTGTTTTAACTGACATTTAATAAAAGAAGACGGTGTGACAATGAACTTATAAAAATTCACAGCCACATATTTGTATTTCTCTCTAACAGAATTATGAGGATTGTTCCTGCCAGTCCAGATTCTGTTATTTGCACAGTGCACCTTATAAAATACTATATCCTAATATCATGAACCCCGGGGCTTTCTGCCTCAGTTTGAGGTTTTTGCATTTTCTATTTCTTGTGTTTGGGAAGTTTTGAGGGTTTTTCTTCACATCTTCAGTTCCTGTTTATTCTGCCTCCCTTCTGTTTCTATGTCTTGTTTTTTAGTCTCTTTGCTGGTACTTCCCATTTTATTTTGGTAGTCTGTAGTTCCGTGTGCCTTACTTCCTTTATTTTGTTTCTTTTGATTAGTTGCACCTGTCTGTTTACCCACCTGTTCCCCATTCCCCTAATCAGCCTTTCTATATTTATAACCACAGACGTCCCTTTGTCTGTGCTGTTGTCCCGTGTGCTCGCTGTCAGTCCAAGGCTTTAATTTGCTGTTTGCTTTTCATGGATTCTGAGGTTCTGGAATCTGTTTCCAAGCCAGATAAAGGTTTGTGTTTTGTTTACATCTGTTTTCCTGTGGAGTCTGCATATGATGACAAAACAACGCAACCAGGCAATGGACCAATCACCGTTCCTGTTGATGAATGGCGTGCTGAAGGAGTTTATAACATTCTCAAAGTTTTTTGGATCTGTGTCTGTGGGACATGTCACTTTCTTCTATGACGGGAATTATTAACAAATATCCTCAAATGCTTTAGTCCAGCGGTCTCCAACCTTTTTTGCACCACGGACCGGTTTATGCCCGACAATATTTTCACGGACCGGCCTTTAAGGTATCACGGATAAATACAACAAAATAAAACCAGTACCGGTACCGAAAAAAATAAGATTTATTCATAACACACATGAAAAGACCCAGGAAAACTGAGTTAACGATCAAAATGATAACAAAATAACGCTGAAAACTGATAAAAACCCTGAAAACTAAACATTTCACACCTGAGCCTCAACTCTCGCGGCCCGGTACCAAATGACTCACGGACCGGTACCGGTCCCAGGCCCGGGGGTTGGGGACCGCTGCTTTAGTCTTCCACAATTTTGGACATTTTTTTCCAAATCGCCTCGGTGTGCTTCATATTGTAAGGTAAAGAACCTACAATAAAAGAGAGAACCCCAACCATCAGACAACCCCCCCAGGAACAAGCACTTGGCGACAGTGGGACAGAAACTCTTTTTTAACAGGAAGAAACATCTCAGACGCAGGCTCGGGAGGGGCAGCTATCTGCCACTACCGGTCACTAAAAACTCACATGGTGACACATTTGAAAAAGACTGAGTCTGAGCACTCCTTCAGCTCCAAACACGCCTCTATATCCCCAGCGTCTGCAGTAGTGATGGGATTTCCGGCTCTTTTTAGAGACCCGGCATTTCGGCTCCGAACCGGCTCTTCAGGTTGTTTTGTTGCTTTAATTAATTTATTATTAACAATAATATAAAATTATGCACAAAAGGAATTACTAACGTAAAAAAAAGTGGTTTTATTTATATATTTTTATTTATATATGTTTATATATAAATATATGCGGTGGCCCCTACAGACAAAACACGTACAAACTCCAAAACACATTTCTAGCATGAACTGAACTTACAAAGCAGAGCTACTAGATCACTTAAATTACACAATTGAAAGCATGTATGTATTGTTTGTGTATTTATACACAGGCACTCATATATATTCAAATAATTTAAAAAAAAGTTCATTTACCTGTTAATACCACACACCAAATCCAGTCGTTGGTACTTGCTGGCTTGGGCGCAGTGTTGAGCTTTTGTTACTTAGTGGCTCCACTAAGTAACAAAAGCTCAACACTGCGCCCAGCATCCTGGAGCACTTCTGTTGTCGTTTGTACGTGTTTTGGAGTTTCTACGTGCTTCAAGGTTTGTACGTGATTTGAAGTTTGTATGTGTTTTGTCTGTAGGGGCCACCGTAAATATACTTTCATTTATTCACTCCACATAAAATGTAATAAATAAAGAGCCATTTCGTAGAGCCAGCTCTAAGAGCCATTTCGTTCGCGAATGACCCATCACTAGTCTGCAGCCAGTCGGCTCCCTGCCAGTATAGTGACTGGTGACAGTTTAACTGAGTGCACACTGAGGCGATTCACTAGTTGTGAATCACTTTGATGCTGGTTGCTCCAAGACGTTT